GAAGCTTAGTAGTTAGGGAACATTAGAGCAGTAATACTGAGTGTGATTCTTTTTGGTAAACTCCTTTGTTATACAACTGCTTATTTTTCCTAAATTTAAAGTGGGACATTGCTACCAATGTCCCAGAAATGAAGTATTTTCTATAATATATAAGAAACTACATTGGAAATTTTGTCACGCAGAGAAACATGCAGATTTATGTTACATAATAAGTAGCAGAAGGGTTGGAAAGATGGCTCAGTGGCTAAGAGTATTGGCTGCTCTTCCAGAGGTCCTGGGTTCAATTCCCAGCAACCACATGGTGGCATGGTCACAACCCCCTATAGTGGGATCTGATGCCCTTTTCTGTCACAAAGTCATGTAGATGAAGCACTAGTATATAAAATCCTTAAAGAATTAAGAGGGGGCTATATAAGTAACAGGAGTAGTAACAGATACTTTATAAATTTATGTGGACAGTTCTGCTAAAGAGTACTGATGGGTTGGTGTTATACACACATTATTAATATGGAAATTGAGGTTCAGAGAGATATGAAAGACAAGAATTAAGACCAAAAAAAAAAATTCATTAACATCTACAGTTACAGGCTAAATGTTCCTATTAACAACAATATTAACAATGAAAATCCTTAAATGGGCATACAGAAATAAAAATCAGTGGTTAGTCTGCCTCTCCCCCAAAACTGAAGACCCTTCATACATAAAATAGATCACAGATTTAGAAAAAATCCTTGAAAGGCATTCTTTTTGTTTGTTTTATTTTCAAGTCAGTTTCTCTGTGTAGCTTTGTAGACTAGGCTGGCCTTGAACTCACAGAGTGGTGGGATTAAAGGCGTGCACCAGGAAATTATTTTAAATAAGGGATAAAATTAGGTTTAATGTCTGGTAATAGCTTGGTATCTCATGATAATGAAAGATCAAAGCTTATCATGAGAAATTCTATACTATTCATTACAAGCATATACACAAATCACAAAGGGCATAGAACAGTACAAATAAATTTTATTATATAAATTTCACATACAATAAAATCTGTTGTCAGATGTATAGATGTATAGCTTTGACAAAGTACCTTTAGAAAGAGAACCACAATATAAGATAAAGTTATGGTGTCCCGAACTCTCACATCATTTTGTACTGAACTTGTTCACCTACATTTGAACTCTGACTAGTTGTGCTTTGTGCATTCTACAGTCGGCCTTCACAATATTTTTTGAAAATGCTGTCTCAGTACATTTGAAGCTCATTGTCTTTACATTTTCCAATTGCATGTGAAGTTAAAAAACATAGGGGTGCTAACTTGCCCACCAATAGCCTTGGATGAAGGTTCTATTTAAACTTGTTCTCCACTTCTGCATCTGTTGTCCATTTTCTGTTCTTTCCTATTTTGATTGCTTTATGTTTTAAATACAACTGCCACCAATGCTTTATAAAGGTTTTTCTCTGTATCAATTATGTCTTTATTATTTTAACTGCTTTTGCAATGCAAAATCACTGTCTGAAATCCATTTCTTAAATTAATCAGACAATTAGTATTTTATGAACTCATTGCTTAACTGGAGTCAGTGACTTTATCTTGTATTTTTAAGTGTTAGTTTTCCATTCCACAAAAGGCACATATCTTGAATATGTTTTTGTGAGGAATATATATTTTTCTTTCTTAATTCGATGTTCAAATATTCTATTTTGTTCATTGATATATTTAAAACATTAAAATGCTACTTTATGCCTACTGAATTGGCATCTCATTGTGTCAAAGCCTTAGCTGACTGAATTTTCCTGGAATTTTGTTCAATTTTTGGTCTTTTATTCTTCCTGCACATAACACCAGTAGCCCCCACACTGAGATCAACAATTAATAAATGGGATCTCCTGAAGCTGAGAAGCTTCTGTAAGGCAAAGGACACAGTCAACAAGACAAAATGACAACCCATGGATTGGGAAAAGATATTCACCAACCCCACATCCAACAGAGGACCGATTTCCAAAATTTACAAAGAACTCAAGAAGGTAGTCTCCAAAACACCAAATAATCCAATTAAAAAGTGGGGTACAGAACTAAATAGACAATTCTCAATAGAGGAATCTAAAATGGATGAAAGACACATAAGAAAGTGTTCAACATCCTTAGCCATCAAGGAAATGCAAATCAAAACAACTCTGAGATAGCACCTTACTACAGTCAGAATGGCTAAAATCAAAAACACCAAGGACAGTTTATGCTGGAGAGTATGTGGAGAAAGGGGAACACTCCTCCACTGCTGGTAGGAGTGCAAACTTGTACAGTACAGCCACTTTGGAAATTTGTATGGCGATTCCTCAGGAAAATGGGAATCAGTCTACCACAAGATCCAGAAATTCCACTCTTAGACATATACCCAAAAGAAGCACAATCATACAACATGGACCCCTGTTCAACGATGTTCATAGCAGCATTATTTGTAATAGCCAGAACCTGGAAACAACCTAGATGCCTCTCAACTGAAGATTGAATAGAGAAAATGTGGTACATTTATACAATGGAGTACTACTCATCGGGGGAGGGGGGGGAAGCAATGAAATCTTGAATGGATGGATGTAGAAGAAACTATTCTGAGCGAGGTAAAGACAGGCATTGTAAGTACTCACTCATATGTGGATTTTAGACATAAAGTAAAGGATTGCCAGCCTGCAGCCCAGGCTGCCAGAGAGGCTGGTAAACAAGGAGAACCCTGAGAGAGACATACATGGTCCCCTGGAGACGGAGAAAGGGACAAGATCTCCTGAGCAAATTGGGAGCATTGGGGGAGGAGAGAGAAAAGTAGGAGAATGAGAAGGGGAGAAGAAGAAGAGTGAGGAAGACATGATGGGACAGGGTGGTTGAATTGGGGGAAGACAGAAGAGAGCAAGATAAGAGATAATATAATAGAGGGAGACATTATAAGTTTAAAGAGAAAAAAAGGCACTAGGGAAATGTCTGAAGAGCTACAAAGATGACACCAACTAACAATCTAAGCAACAGAGGAGAGGCTACCTTAAATGCCCTCTTCTGATATTGAGATTGATGACTAATTCATATGCCATAGTATAGCCTTCATCCAGCAGCTGGTGGAAGTAGAAGCAGATACCCACAGCTAAACCCTGAACTAAACTGAAATCCAGTTGCAAATAAGGACTCATGAGCAAAGGGGTCCATATCAGGCTTGTGAAATCCACAGAAACAGGTGACCTAAACAAGGGAGAGCTCTTGGTCTGGGGAGACTGATACCTAGGAAACCAGTATGGGATTGATCCAGACCCCTGCATGTGGGGGGTCAGTGAGGAGACCTTGGAAATCTATGGGGCCACTTGTAGTGGATCAGTACTTATCCCTAGCATTAGGAATGGACTTTGGGAGCCCATCCCACATGGAGGGATACTCCCTGAGCCTAGACACAAGGGGGTTGGCCTAGGCCCCATCCCAAAGAATATGACAGACTTTGAAAACCCCCTATGGAAGGCCTCAACCGACCCCTGGGGAGCAGGAAAGTATATGGGATAGGTAGGGTGTTAGATGGGTGGGTGGGGGTGGGTGGGAGAGGGACCTGGGATTGACATGTAAAATAATTTTCTTTGTAATAAAAAGAGATAAATTAAAAAAAGTTACAAAGTAAATATCGTAAACAGATTTTACATTAGATTGTCTACCAGATCATAACTATAGGGACAGATTATAGCTTTCAAGAACTGGTCCTCTGCTAAATTTTTTAATGTTATTAACTGAAACACAATTACATCACCCCCCTCCCCACTCCCATCCAATCCAGATATCCTCACTGGAACCCTACAATGTCCTCCTCCCACTCTTAAACTGACCCCTTTTTTATTATTGCACCAATAATACATAATACACCCCTGTTAAGTTATTCATGTGTCTTCACTAATTTTATAGAGATGTTCAAAATGTTATCTTTTCAGAACTTGGTGAAATACTACACTGGTTATTGGTCTTTTTTCTCAGCAGTGTGGCTAGATCAGAACTTTTTCAAATGTATTAATCTTTTCTCAGAACCAGGTTTGTTTACACTTTTTTCATCTGTTTGTTCATGGATTCACAATCTTCTCTTCCATTTTGCTGAATACCACCTCTCATTTCATCCAGCTTCTCTAGTTCATTCTGATCCATTCCACGTGTCCAGCTAAACCTTAATCATAACAACTCATCTTACTGACTCACTGAGGAACTACTATATTTGTCTACTGTAAGCATCAGATCTCAAGATTTTCCATCCTGTTCTGTTAATGTTTCTTTACCTTACCTGAGCAGCTAAATATTATCAGCATGTTCTAGGTTCCCCACTCTCTATTTCTAATTCCTATATTGAATTCCTTTATTCTGTCCACTTTGCAATGCCATAAATACCAGAGAAGAAGCTATAATTCTCTAGGATAAGTCAGTGAAGGCACAGCCTTTGAGGAGCATCTCTGAGGTAAAGGTATATTCTATATTCATCAATGACAAGTGAAAACCTTCATAAAAATATAATTCTTTGGGGAGGGAGAGGGAACTGGGATTGACATGTAAAACAAGCCTGTTTTATAATTCAAATTAAAAAAAAGTACAAAACTTAATTTTTTCTACTAAAAATAAATTTCACCAAGGGAACAAAATAATTTACTATGAGAAACATCTTTACCTTTAAGCAATGTTTCTACAGATATTAAGTTTAAAGACATAAAATTCAAATTCTAGCTTAGAAATGATCACAAATATTAACACCTTGTAACAGACAAATCTACCACTATCAAAAAAGGGGACAATAATCTCAATAAAATTTGGGACTCTTCTGAAAGTAATCACCAAAATAATACTTCTAAAAATATGTGTAAAAGTGCTCTGTATATAGGTAAAAATGGAAAATAAAAGTATTAAGAATCTTAATATGTATAGCTAGCGCTAAAAAATTTTAGTGGTCATATTCATTGCTAAGTTACATTTCCTAAGATATATAAATCAAGTAATGAAAAAGTATGGACACTGCTAAGAAGAAAATAATTTATTTTATATGCAATAAACTATTATAAAATATCTCCAAGCACTAATGTGAAGATTTTTTAATGCTTTCAATGTTGTTACGCACAGTTCCATTGTCCACAGTTCCACAGATGGCCAATTTCTTCTCTCATAGTTCCACAGTACTTGAAAGACAGAGAATTCAGAAGGAACCTAAAACACCACAAAAGTCCATTAAAAATAATAAAAATTCAATTCATTAACTTTAAGAAGCCCAAATATTTATATGTAGAAAATTAGTGAATCATGTCAGAACAACTAAATATATGTTGATAACTTCTACGTATAACTAAACTACTTTAATTGTGTATATTAAGAGATTATAATCTCAATTTTGGTAAGCTTCTACTATTAGGGTGACAAATAAGAGTTTTGAGTAGTCTTACATCATCTTATACCAGCACCTTTTCCCACAAAATGTTGAATAATTTTATTTTACTAAAAAGAAAAAATGTATGACTGATTAAGTTGGTACACAATGGCCAATCACTTTAACAAAGGAGCATCTAAACTTATCAATGGTCCTTTCTATTACTAAAGGAATGTTAAAAAACTATATTATTGGATGTTATTCCAAGTGATTTTGATTTACTTGTTAGCTCTAATATAAGAGTCTAGAAATAGTTATATATAGAAACTCTTCCTTGGTGGTTCTCTCTATATTAATAATATACTAGAACCAAACTCTAAGACAGAATATGGTAATTCACTTCTCAGGATTTAAATGTGTAGAAAAATTTGAGACTGACTGACTGTTGTGAGAGATTCTAGTCATCATACAGCCTGGAATCATTCTGCTTATTTTTAGAAGTTAATTTACTAAGCTATCTGAAGTCTTATCTGTTATTCTTTTCAAATTTATAAATGTATATCGAAATTATATATTTAAATTTAGTTTTTGAATTTTTCATTTTTGTTTTGAAAAGACCAACTGTAAAGCAAATCCTTCCACTTGTCAAAGACATTTCAGTTAGACTTTCAATGTGCTATCTGTTACTCTATTGCAAGTTTTTTTTTTTTAATAGAACTCCTTAGTTTTCAATGTACTTATTACTAAAGGGAAAAAAATCTTTTCCCAGTCAAATTTTAGAGCATGCTATATAGAACTACTGTGCTGAATAGCTTTAACTGTCAACTTAACATAACACCAAATCACCTGAGAGAACAGTCATAACTAAGCATTATCCAGACTATGTTGGTCTGTGGGAATAATATGAACTTGATTATTAATTGTTGTAAGATACAGCCAATTTTGTGTAGCAGTATTACATAGAAAAGGGGACAGTATAACAGAGGAAAAAGCTAGCTCAGACTAAGCAAGCAAGGTTTTATGGATTTATTCTCTCTGTACTAAACTGTGGATATTATACTTTAAATTCATGCCTTGACTTCCCCACAACAATGAAATGTAACTTGGAATTATGAGACAAATAACCCCCTTATGCCCCAAGTTGCTTTTTGTCAGAGTATTTGTCACAGCAACAAAAATTAAACTAGAAGACAGTTAGATGGGATATACCATGAAACAGAAAGCATGTTCCTGAATTAGGTTGAGGAAATTCACATGTAGAGAAAATACTACCATACTCTGTAGTAAAGCATATGTATACATTAAGTGACCTGATTCACTAACTTTCCCTGAAAAAAAAAATCCTTGATTATATGATAACATAGAAAATTAAACAGTGAATATAAATACATGTTAAATATTTGTTCAGGCTATAATACTAATTTGAGAAATATTTCATTTGAACAAAATATAAATATAAAAAGTATTGGTAAGTCCGGATAAATGATAGAAGGTAGACAAAGCATTTCTAGAAACAAAATGAAACAAAACAAAACACTGTCCCAAAAAGGATACGACAAGAAAGGATACACTTGTGTGACAGTATTACAGCAGTGTTTACGCAGGAATGCTTCTAAGGAAGAACAGCAGAGTGTAGTTTATTTTTTCTCTAATTGGTAGCAATAAATTTATAAATGATCTACTAAAATACAGACTGAAATTCTTCATTTTTTGTACAGTATTTATGAGACATCTGCCTTGAAAACAAGCTTAAATACTCCCAAAACTCAGAGATTAAATAGTAAGCAGATCTTCCTATTTTGATAGATTTTTTTTTCCCACCTAAATAGCAATTTTGAGCAATTATTTTCATGTTCTTCCAGGTTCTAAGAGTAGAAAAACTAAAAGTAAAATATCTCTAACTCACATCCCAAAAAATCCACTCATTTCTCTAAGTTCCATAACTTAATTTAAAATCTTTAACTCCACCACTTGAAATCATTTATTCACTTAGGTAGGTTATGAATGTGTTCCAAATAAATTATGCCACAAAACCCGATGTTTACAAAGGATGCTAATCATTCTAAATATGTAACACTGTAGAATTTTAGCAACTATTTTCCTTCAGTTTTCAGTGTGGTCCCTGGACTAAACACCTCACTGTCATCTATGAACTCAATGATTGTGCAATTGGTCCAATGACATAGAATACCCAATTGGTCCTGGCTTTGCAGATACTGTCCCTTTCAGCATTGCAATTACTTAATCACAGGAAAAATGAGATAAATGGGACTACCTATCACCCACCTCAGAACTACAGACACAGAAACTCTTGGAGGGAGGGGCCAGCAACCTGTTTTTAGTAAGCTCTCCAAGTGTTTACAACACAGATTAGGAATTAAAGACATCATCATGCAGGAAACATATACAAAGTAACAACCAATACATTCCCTCTATAAAATCGATAAAATTCTCTAAAATTGTTACAAAAAAATTGATTTTATTCTCATTATAATTTTGAAATTAATGAAAATGAACTGCATACACAGAAATTTTCTTAAAAATTCATAAAATACGTCTGAAATAGTACCCCATAAGACTTTTATGACTCCTTACTTTTAGTCCAAAAAACTATAGTATCTTTCACCATTTTCTCCACACTTACCTTTTTCCACTCCTATCACTTCCGTTTTCCTTCTTTAGAGTCTTGTTTTGGTCTAGCAGATCGAGCAAACTGCTAATGTGTTAAAATTAAGGCTTCGATCATGAACTCAAATGTGATTTAGGCATTAAGTTCTATTATATAAAAATACATACTATATATAAAAATACATACTATACAGTCTTAATATCAAGTACAGAATAGAAAATAGCATTAAAATTATTTTTTCTAATCTTGTATAATATTCACAATTTGAAAGGAATTATTGCCCTTCTTTATAACTGTCACTTTTCTTATCTGTACCCTCACTAATATCTAATTTAAAACTTGAATTTACTTCAAGACAATTATGCAATGATATATTTTGACCATTGGAATATCATAGCAGAAGTGTATTTCTAGATAACATGAGGAAATAATTTAAATAATTTAAAGCTGAATAAATGTATAACCTTGGCTGAACTTTTTCCTTTACATTGCTAAAGTTATATAATTTTCCAATAAATGATTAAGAAAAGTTGTCATCTGACTGAGCTAAGGCATGTTTAACTGATAAATAACAACTCTGAATAACAATTGTTGATATTATAAATGACAACTTGAAATTAATTATTTATATATGCCCCACTGCTAAAAACCCCAGGGTGTTAGAATGGATTTGTTTAAAGGATACAACCACCATGGGTTTTCCAAAAAGAACATAGCCATTAGCTTCTTTTAAGGCTTTAGCTGCTGCTTTTTCATTTGGAAGTCCAACAAAAGCTTGTCCTTTCATACGTCCTTCTTTCATCAAGCGAATATCAAACCTAGAAGTAAATAATAAAAAAAATACAGTAATTATGGTTTAAAGAAAATCAATTTTAAAAACATGAGTCAAAGGTCTTAACAATCCAAAATTTTTCCATTTCTATGTAAGAACAAAACTATTGGAAAATTTTGAAATTAGATATTCTAAAATTCTATTTTGTATTGTTCTTAACAAGAAACAATTATGCTATGATCATAATTTTAAATATATCACTAGCAAGGATAAAAGCAAACTCTTAGTTTGTTGTTGTCCTATGATCCAGGATTCTAGTAGAGTTATACTATCAACAAAGCAAGCTAAAATTTTTTAATTCATCTTTTTTCCCACATCTTGCAATGAATCCAATATTATATACCAAATGATTTATTTAAAAAAAAAGATTAGAAGGGTAAGAGAAAGCAAGTAATTGGTTTACATTGTTGAATTTACATTAGTAAGTATTTAGACTTTTATGGCAGATACTCAAAGCTATCATTTTATTAATGGTACATGGACACAGAATGATTCTTACATGCATAGGGATAAAGTCACACATTATTCCTAGTCTACTTCCCTACTATCTTATTATTCTACATTATTATTCTTATTATTCTACATTATTATTATTACTCTACATTAAAATCATATATAAACAATGTTTAGAGAAAACTGGTTTTAAAACCTATTTCTAAAAATGAGACGGCAAGTTACAATGAAAATATGATATAGTATTTTAAACCTCCAAAACATAAAACATATAGTATCAACTGATAGAGCTAGTAACAGCACAGCTGGAAACGTGCTTTCATTGCTTGTACAAGAACCCAAGTTCAATCCCATAAACTTTCATGAAAACAAACAAACAAAACTAACAAACAAAACAAAAATCTGGGCATGGTAATGTATGCTTTTAATTGCAGAAGTAGGGAGACAGAAACAGATGGCACCTGATTTACTGGACAGCCAGACTAGCCACCTTTACAACTTGTGAGTATTAGACCGATAAAAACACTTGTCCCAGGCAAACAAACACGCAAAATAATAATAATAATAATAATAATAATAATAATAATAATAATAATAATAATAATAATAATAATAATAATAATAATAATAATAATAATAATAATAATAATAATAATAATAATAATAATAATAATAATAATAATAATAATAATAATAATAATAATAGGGTGTGTGATGGACACAGAGATGCAAACACACACAAAAAGGTATAACCACCCACCTACATATATTTGTGAACACACACATACACACAAGTGAAAATGCACTGCAATTTTTATTGCAGTAAAAATTTTTTAAACTTCATAACTTGTCTCAAAGGAAACAATCATTTGGAGATCTATAGCTTTTTCTATCAATAGTTTCTTTCACATCAAATTGTTTTATATACAAGATAATATTGAAAATATATACATCTTGCATATATGAACATAAAATGTATCCAAAAGACACAATAGGCAGGTAAGATTAGAAATATTGGTTTCAATTAAGTTAAATAGTTAATGTCATTTTTAGAAATACAAATCCATGAGCTCTGATCCAACTAGAAAACCCTTCTTTGGAGATGGATCACCAAAACTATAGAACCAAGCTTTCCAGGTAGTTCTCAAGCAATGTTTAAAAAAAAAAAAAAAAAGTTGAGTAACAATACTTTAGTACTTTAGTATCAAAGGGGTTTCAGATAAAACTTATTAGAAGACATACACACACACACACACACACACACACACACACACACATATATTAGAATATAACAATAAACAATAAATATAAAGTATATACAGTTTGTTGGCTTCCATACTAGAAAAAACTGAATAGTTGTAACAAATATGATCTGATTTAAAATACTAAAAATGGTATTTGCTCATTTATATCGAAATTCATCTATTCCTGTTCTAGATGTCTAAAAGGACATTTATGTAAGAGAACAAATGATTCATGTGGGTTTTAATACTAAAGAAAAAAAATCAAGCATAACAAAACATGGTGAATTTGTAACAGACAAAACTATTTAAAATTATGTTTGGCACTTACATTATCCGCTGTGTTTCTGAAGAAAAGTCAACATATCTTCCAAATATAAATTTAAGGTCCTAGAATTTGAAATTAATAAAGAAAAAAAGATAAGAAAAAATAGACAAATTAAAAAAGTAAAATAACAAAATCAAATTAAAAACTTCACGTTACCTTTTCTTGAACGTGTCTAGCTAAATTCTTTACATAAATTCGGCAGTTTGGTTCACCAGGTTCATAACTTCTGAAAACTGAAAGGGTTTCCATTTCTTTTTAGGAACAAAGCAAAACAAAGATATACAATAAAATACCTTTAACAATTTTTGAAATAAAATTATAACATTCAATTATAACTGCTAAAAAGGCAAAAATAAGCTTTATGAAAGTGTTAGCATCAGATAATAGTAACAATATTGCACAAATAGAAATATTCATTAAAATCTAAAAGGATTATATAAAAAAATTGAACTTTTGCTTAAAATTTCCCAATTATATAGAATTAAAATTTATCCCCAAAACCAGATTAAAGGTGCTTTAAGAGGAGCCACTTTATTAAAAATCTTAAATATGTGATAAGAACCATTTATATAGCTATTCTGTTTAAAATGCATTTCTTAAATCATTAGTCACTGTCATATTTTAAATGTAGCAATAATGCATTCAAAAATCAATTGCCAGAAATTTCGCACAAAGATCTCCAAACCCTTTTACAGTTCTTCATATTTACTGCCAGTTATCTGTTTTGGGAAACTAGATTTTGTATCAAAGATATTAACTGGAGGCTGATTTCTCATTACTGTGGAGAAATGTACTAGTAACAATGACAAATCATTAAATTTAAAAAAAAGTAAAATAAAAAAATCATTTAGTAGTGTGGTGGTTTGAATATGAATGGGGCATATGGGCTCCTATGTTTGGATACTTGATCCTCGTTAGAATTGTTTGGGAAGGATTAGGAGGTATGACATTGACCTTGGAGGAGGAGGTCAGTGGGAGCAGGCTCCGCGATTTCTAAAGACCTGTACCATTCCTAGTGTGCTCTCTTCCTACAGCACGTGGATCACAACATGAGCATTCAATGTTCCTACCATGATGTCTTTGTTCTGTCATCATGGACTCTCATGCTCTAAAACATGAACCCAATTAAATGCTTCTTTTGTAAGTTGCCTTGGTCCTGGAATTTTGTCACATAGAAAATGATTGAAATATATTTAAAAAACAATTAAGCTAAAGAATAACGTTGGGATATAAAATCCTAAATTCAGATTTCTAGTCACCAAAATTGTAATAACCACCTTGTATCTACTTTAGGTATTGTATGATAATGTTTTGTCAACTCTTTTATATACAAAATATATAACTTCAGACTTGTTGGACTTATTGATTACTGCAAATATTTATCACAAACACAAATGGTAAGGAACTTCTCTAGTACAAGGTGCATTTTTTTAAAAAAAGAAGGGTCAATAAACTAATTATAGATAGACACTGAAGTGTCTATCTTAATGCAATTGACCCGTAGGGAGTTCTAATTTCAGTAAGACATGAAAAATAGAAGGAGAACACAAAATATAAGATGGACTGTGAGTTGACTTATTTCACTACGTTACCTTCTCTAGAAATTCGACCCTTATCCAACTCCCTTCGAGAAATACATTGTGAGGGCATTTCATCAGAATCGTCTTTAATCTCTTCCGTGGTGTTCAAATTAGGTTTGGGGAAGATTTTTCCAAATCCTGTATTTGAATCATCAAGTCCAGTATCTGGTGAATCTAAGAGTTCAACATTAACATCAGTCATAAGAAAAAACAAAGTAAAACAAACAAAGCCCCCCCAAAAACCCTCATGTTTCAAAACATATTTTAAGTTTCTTTTCCTGTTTTTTATTTACATTTCACAAAAGTATCATTTGGTAATTTTTAATGTCTCTTGGTATCTCAGAACAAAAGCAGGCCACCTATAAATGTCCGAAGAATAGTGTTTTATGGTTTTGTGGAGCAGGGCTAGACTCTGGTTTTGACTATTCAGTTCGGTTATTATAGCATGAAGGCAGCTGACAACAACTAGAGCTAAATGCTTGCTTTGTAGTGCTAGTTAGGGGGCAAAGAGGAAAGAAAATGAATTAACCTTTAGTATACTCAGTTTGATGTACCAAATAGGAATCTGAAGAAAATGCCGAATGTTAGATAAGAGTGTGTATATGGGTATGTAGCAACTGATTGTTTAACCTACTCACTCTGAAACAGTAATAACTATATTTTAAAAACTGTGCAATTAGTTAAATAGTAAAATTAATAGTATTCTAACCAAATACAGTGACTCTACAATTTACTCCTTTCAACATAAATTAAAAGATTTGTGTCAATATGTTAGGCTGAAATGAAAACAAAACAAAACAAAACAAAAGAATTCCATTTGGGGCTTCAAAAACATTCCATTAAGCTCCCAATGACTCCAGAAAAAAAGAGGTAAAAATGTTCATCCTTCATGGACAAGTATTTTATAGTTAAGAAATTAGTTAAATATTTTTCAAGTTAACTTTTTACGTTAGATAGCAACATACTAAAATTTAAAAATATGGCCGGGCGGTGGTGGTGCACGCCTTCAGACCCAGCACTTGGGAGGCAGAGGCAAGTGGATCTCTGTGAGTTCAAGACCAGCCCGGTCTACAAGAGCTAGTTCCAGGACAGCCTCCAAAGCCACAGAGAAACCCTGTCTCGAAAAACAAACAAAAAAAATAAAATAAATGAATAAATAAATAAAATTTAAAACTATGAATTTTAGCATCAGCAGTATCTGACTAGAATTGGCAAAAAATTGTTGGATGAACAGAGTTACGTACTACCAGAAGTCCTTCAAATAAATAAAAGCAAATAGCGGAAACTCAAAAGTTAGATGGGGAAATGATACAAAACATGTTTCCTATAAAAGTCTTAATGTAGAAAATCCATTATATAAATAGAGTATCTACAGTCTAAAAATATAAACAGCAAAAAGATGTCATATTTTCACTATCCACCATTACAAGCTTTGACGCTGATACAGAATGGGATGATGGACTGCCTGCCCTAAATAAACATAGAATGTTTTAGTCAAGCATAAAATTGTATCCCATAAATGGATTTAATTTATATTTATCAATTATAGTAAAAGAATATTAATAAAAGGTGACTAGCAACTAAATGACAAAATAACAATGAAAAATAAAAACATTAAAAATGAAGCTAACTCAAAATATATCATTACTTACTATGCCCAAAAAAAGGAAAGGAACAGTAATTAAAAGTTCACTTACTACATGCACGTAATCCTTACTAAAATTCTTTATTTACAAAAGTAATCAAACATGCAACAAGACATATATTCTAGTATTTACTAGTTCAGAACTATGCGGGTTTTAGCATATTTTGGAATACATCACGAATCCTAACTCAAAATACCAGAAAATAAACGGCAACAGTGATAATCTTTCCATTTACCCTAAATTTTATTTAGATAAGAGTTGAAATGGAGATACTGAGGTTCACCTAACCATATATACGCTAATTTTTGATATATTTTTTAAACATTTCAGATAGAGTCTCATTTATTCCAGGCTGTACTCCCAACCATTAGCCAAGGATGTCCCCGAACTTCTGAGACTCCTGCCTCTGCTTCCCAAGCATTGGAATTACAAGGTTGTATTACCACACTCAGTTTACCAAATACTAGGGACTAAACACAGAGCTCCATGCACACTCTCTACCAACTTGATCTACAGCCTCAGTCTGTAACTGCACACTTTAAGTAGAGCTGACAAACACTACTAAAATATTTGATTTTAACATAAAAAAGGTTTCTAAATATATTAAATAACTTTTAATAATTAAATAAACTTTTCTTACCAGAATTTTTTTCCTCGTTATTCTGTTCCATCTCCAAATCTTTCTTAAATGCTGCTGGCATGTTGGTAGATATATTGAATTCAATTTTTTTACTGCCTACAGGTTGTGGTTGGTCAAATACATCTGATGGTAACAGCACAGGATGCAAACTGGTATTTATAAACAATTACAATGTAAGATTATAATATAAAATAAAATTCTACAAACATTATTTCAGATTTTCTTTAAATTTAAAAGCTCATGATGAGACATTCTCTCCATTTTAGGCACTACACAAACTGTCTAGATTAGTAGTCCAACAAAGCTCAATAGTTGGTAATAGTACTGTTAAACGCCTAATTTACAGATAAGGAAACCAAGGTTAAAGGATGTTCAACGTTTAAATAAAGTCATTTGTTAAGTGAAAAAGTTAGGACTTATCTATTCATTTGAAGCAGCAGCAGATTTAGCAGGGACAAGGAGGTGTGCGTTTGTTCAGTCAAGAATAAAAAAAGTGTCTTTCATTTGTTTGACATTTATTTTGTATGTGTGGTGGGGAACATTTTTAGCCAGAAGACAAACAGCAGACAATTCTTTCCTTCCATCATGTGGATATTTAGGATCAAACTCTAATCATTACCATTGGCCACAGAAACCTTTACTCATGAAACCACCTTGCCAGACCATTTAACACAGGCTCAAGCCTAGTATATGTAGCAGACAATCACTTTGAAATTCCAATCATTCTAGGTCCCATCTCATCATCTGGCAGTGTTTTTAACACAATATATATTGTACACTGCAGTAAGTGCTCTGGTATGCAACTTACAGTCACTGGTTACATATAATTTGTGAATTTCTGTAAAGAAAAATGTCTTAACTGCTCAATAACATTTATATAGATTTTATGATGAAATAATATTTTGAATATAATGGATTAAATAATTACTATTGGCCTTGATTTGCTCATTTGTTCTGTGTGGTACAACTACTAGAAAATGTAGCTTACAATGCTCGTGTTATTTAAGCACTGCTTTAAGAATTAAAAGCATGGTACCGCCATTTCAACACAGAAAGAGGTTAAGGTGCCATAATTTTTACATAAGATTATTTCTATTAAAACATAACTTGCAGAAGCGTTAAATGAAGTTAAAATCGCAATCACTAGTAAGAAGCAGCAAATATACCTAATAAGAGAAAAGATGCTAATGTGAGATGAATACTGAGTTTTAGCAAATGCTGGTAAACAACTAGAATTTGGCAAACTTTGCAAGTTTGGCAAAAAGAAACCCAGTAATCAAACAAATGAAATGACAAACAGCCAGACTGAAGAATAATCTAAGTTAAGTAAATAAAGAAAGTGCATACAAACAACCTTCATTTTGTAAATATACACAAAACTACCTATGTGAAGCTGACGAAGGTACATTCAACATATCCTTTATTTTTTGCTTTTTTCTCACTTGGCGTGGCTTTGCAGGTTTGGGTCTTTTGGGCTGAAGATTTGCTAGTTCCATTAATTTGTTCATTCTATTAAGAAAGGGGAGGTAAACAAGAGTTGATATTCTAAAATATGGCTTATATCTTTAATACAAAATATATTTAAAACTAATTAGGGTAACTTTAAAGCTACCAATAGGCATAATCAATTTGACCAAAATTCATATCCTAAATTGACCTGCACCATTTAAATGTTATTTTTAAAACATTTAACTGATTTTATATTATCAGTTTAAAACTTTTCATTATGAGTATCAGGTATCCAAATAAAATGACATAAAAATGAATAATAAAACAATAAATATACAAATATATTCTATTATGTTTGGCTTTTAATTACTAAAGAGAACTAAGTATTTCTCTGGAAAGTATTTTATAAACAAAGTGACTACTTAAGGAAAAGTTTCGAAATTCTAAATTATAATTAACCAATACTTGAAGAATGTTTCTATATATTGATTTATATTTCTAATATTTTTTCATTTTTATAATATTTCTATAATTGACAAAAAAATGCTTTTAAATATTTACACAAAGTTATTTGAGAGCCTGCCTGCGTTTTATTATTGATATTTTCCCTTTCTACTTTTAAGCATTCTGTCTTATTTACCTGTTTTCCTACAGAATCTGAATGATGTGTCCCAATGGTATTCCATAAACCCCTTGTGCATACCTAGATGCCCAGACAGTTCTTTATTCTGATCAGTATTTCTCGTGTTACCTCATCAGCATCACCATGTTTATTAATTTCTCTGTCACATTTATTTTAGGAAAAAAGTTTCCAAAAACTAAACTTGCTTACAAGTAACAATTAGAAACTGACAACTGGCATCTCATATACAACTTCCTTCCATTATGACTCTGGGCTTGGATATTTTGGTATCTGTCACAAAGGAGTAATTTAAAACAACTAGGTACAAATCTCTCAGGGCTTCATTATACAGAAAGGTGGATGTGGCTAAAAACTTTAGGCTTTTTTCCCAATAAACAGGTGGAAGTATAAGCATATACTACATAGTAGGAAATTTCACAACAATCAAGTCTCATAAAAACTTGTATTACAAAGCTGAGCATGGTAGCACACACTTGTAATCCAGCACCCAGGGAGCAGAAAAAGCAAGATTTCAAAGTTGGCCTGGCAGCTAGGATAAAGAGTGTGACTCTTTCTAGAATTCCCCAAACCAAACACAACGAAAATGTTATTAAAAAATACAATATTCAAACCACATGCCTGTATTAAAATTGTCCACCCAAAATATACCAACCCTCTAAAACAAGACCAGGCACAAAATAAGAAATTAATATTTGACAACTAAATATATTTCCTAAAATTTTTATTTTATTTCCAGAAGGTAATAAAAACATGCACTAGAAACAGGTTTTGTTCTAAGACTCAAGATGAATTTTGGGCAGAATTTCATGCTACATTCCTAAACAGAAAGCTATAAAAATTAAAATGGGTTTGGTCTAGAATATTATAGCATTTCTAATTAGGATTACTACTTTTAACTTTTTAGAGTAGTTCTAAATAGCACTTCAAGTTTATTTTTTAAAAAATTTAAATTGTTTAAAAGAATAATTAACAAAATGTAATATTCTATACTACTCCTTAGCTTTAGGTCATGCTAACTTTCTCTGTATCAGTCCATTTTAGTATATGTGCTGTTGAAGAGAGCACTACTAGTTTGTAGTAAAACAGATTACATTGAAGCACTACCTGCTTTGCTAACCATCTCTCTTCCAAATACACTGTTACTTGGTAATTTGAGTCCCACCTACAATTTGATTTTTCCATGGAGAGGAAAATCGCTACTTAGATAGATAATGGCTTAGCAAAATTGTTACTGATTATATGTGTTTTTTAAGTCTCTGTCTGGGTCCTGACTCACACTAATACTTCCTTTTATATCTGACTTTTTGCATAATTAAGATTCACATCATTTACCCATTAATTATAATAAGGTGGCAGTTGGTCCAAGAACCAAATCAAGTTAGCTAACTGTTCCTGTAATATACATAAAATTTGTTAGAACACAGCCACACCCATTCATGAAGAACAAATATGGCTGCTTTCCTGCCATGAGAGTAGAACTTTGTTACCATTGTGACAAGTGAGCAACACTACACCTCACTCACAAAGTAAAAAGCATTTATTCTTTGATCTTACAAAGGAAAATGTTTGGAATCATGAAATTGTTCACACCCCACATTGTGAAAACACTGTCCTTTGATTGCAATGTAACTCACCCTAATGTATGTTCATGATAAAATTGTTAATGCCTGTAACCTTGCTATATGTGTTATGCAAATGTTATTAGAAACTAGAAGTCAGAGTTCATTCTAACAGGAATGTAACGTGTAATTTACAAGCTTTAGGATAGAAGTATGTTTAAGAGAGCAAACTTAAGTAGTGTCTGTACCAGAGGCATTGGAGGCATTCCACGCAGATTTTTTTTTTCTTTTGGTTTTTCTAGATAGGGTTTCTCTTTGTAGCTTTGGAGCCTATCCTGGCACTCGCTCCGGAGACCACACTGGCCTTGAACTCACAGAGATCCGCCTGCCTCTGCCTCCAGAGTGCTGGTTGGAGGCATTCCACGCAGATTTTTTTTTTCTTTTGGTTTTTCTAGATAGGGTTTCTCTTTGTAGCTTTGGAGCCTATCCTGGCACTCGCTCCGGAGACCACACTGGCCTTGAACTCACAGAGATCCGCCTGCCTCTGCCTCCAGAGTGCTGGGATTAAAGGCATGCACCACCAATGCCCGGCCCCCACGTAGATTTTAAAAGGCCATGTCTCCTTCCCACAGGAGAATTGTTTGCAGCCAGGAGAGCTTAGGTGCTACCTCCCAGTGGAATTTTTCTGATTCAGGAACTGTACGAGCTGGACCAGGTCCATTCCCCATTAACCTTATTTGTTTTACAGAGACTGATTCCAGCCAAAGATGGATATGGTTTTCCTTGCCTACAGGGAATCCTAAGACAGAACACGCATGACGGAATGCGTGGTTCCATGACAGGCCCCCCTGGTAGGTTGAAGGGAGCCACCTAAGCCAGGCTCAGTCATCAGTCCTGTTGCAGAAGCATGGGTTTCTTTTTATTAATTTAAGAGAGGGGAATTGTCTGGGGCCGGGAAAATTCCATTAGGAAATTTCCAGAGGTTCCAGTAACCCGGGAGCTCTGGGCTGCATTGAATAGTAGATGCTAACTGATTTGCTATTGAATAGCATGGCCTCAGAAGAGAATGTCCCCTAATTTGCATCTCTACAGGACTAAGCATTTTAACAGGCCTGCACCTGGGTGGAGGGTGAGGTGGTGTATAAGTAACACATGAGTTCAGAGAGTTACAAGCTACCACACAGAGGGGTCGACTAGGATAGAGAAATGGCTGCAGAAACAGGGAAACATGGTTAGGAAAACAGCCAGGAAGATGCGGAATAAAGAAGAGACTAGCTTTGCAGCATGGAACTGAAAGCTCGCCAGTGTTTGGTCTTTATTGCCATTGGGTTGTAGTGAAGGGACCTCTTTGAGAGTATATCCTAAGTAACCCAAGGGTCCTCTGTCGTGTCCTGGCATGTCTCAGCCCAAGCCACGGTAGCCATGAGGTTCAGCATGAGTGAGGAAGCGTGGACTTGGAAACTCCTAGCAACCCAATGGATTGTATCTTCCTATACTGTGAGCCAAAATAAATTTTGTTTTTGGAAGTTAACTCCCAGGTACTTCAGTATAATGTTTGTATGTTGACTAACAACTGACTACTTTATATGTCATTTGGGTTCCTATGTGTCAAGTGACTCAAATTTTTCAGCACAATGTTTATACTCATATCTATAAACACCTTATAAATACAAGCTCTTGTAAACAAAAATTCTGAGTTAGGAAAATAATCTTTCTTTTTAAAGAAAAAAAAGGTAATTTTGGAGCTACAAAAATTTTAACAAGCAAAATAACAAATATGGAACCATAAAGAATGAGGTTCAATTATACTCTGTAATACTAAATTTATCAAAGTAAAAATTATTCTTTATCCAAAAATTTTTCCAAAGACCCTATTATCCACTGAGCTACTGTATACGCTCAAGATCTTAAGGAGTTTGGGATACAATTTAATGCACTCTAATATTGAATAAATTCTATGTAAAATATAGCAAGAGCATGTCCTTTTCACATTCTTATTCTTAGCAAGGCATATCACAAACCTCTGTCGGTCCTCCTCATCACTGCTTTCATACTCTGATTCTTTACTAGATAAATCCTCATCCTCATCTGGTAAGGGAGGTTCCTCAGGTGGCTGTGGTGACGTAGGTGGAAGGGGTGCATGCAGTGGCATATAGTCCTCATACTATTTGAAAGAACAAAACCAACACTATAGAAACTATTTACACAACAGACAGACAATTTTACATAAACGATTATTCTCATCAAAAGACTTTTATTCCACACAAATACTTGATTCTCTTTCTCTTCTTTGATACATTCAATATACACTAACAGAACATCTGCAATGGTGGACTGCTAGATGATAACAGTTTTGTTTTCTATATTCCCTAGCCATCTAACTATACAAAACTTGGAAATATGCCTTATAATTCACTATGCAAATTATCTCATGGAATAAGAACATAAAATAATCCTCCTTTTGTTTCTGATCTACAGTATGTCCTAATCAGCATGAATAGATACAAAATGAAGACAACTTGAGTCTTATGAATGACTCAAAACATCCCTGCTCCCAGACTGATAGATGGAATACCAGCATGGGACTGATCCAGACCCCAGGAACATGGGTTTCAGTGATGAGACCTCGGAAATCACTGGGACCTCCTGTAGTAGTCCAGTACTTATCCCTAGCATAGGTGTGGACTTTGGGAGCCCATTCCACATAGAGGGATACTCCCTGAGCCAAGACACACGGGGATGGGCCTAGGCCCTATCCCAAAGGATATGACAAGACTCTGATGACACGCTATGGAAGGCCTCACCATCCAGAGGGAGCAGAAAGGGGTGGGGTAGTAGGGAAGGATGGGAGGGGAGAAAGGAACTGGGATTGTCATGTAAAACAATCCTGTTTCTAATTCAAAAAAAAAAAATCCCTCCTCCCCTATTATTTAAAGTGGAATAGCCATGACAAGACAATTTACCACATTAGTAGCATCTAATATTACCTTAATAAATTTCTAAGCAACAAGTACATGGTGGTGTTACAATAAAAAGTTAGAAAACTAACTTTTCTCAAACAGAATAGTAGCCAACTCCAAAGAAAACTCTTTTATCTGTATGATAAAAGCCAAAATAATTTTGCATTAATATCACTGATAAATATACAAAACCACATTGAAATAACCTCAAGAGCTGACAACCTAATATGTAAATTATTGGACAACTTTTAGCAACCTTTTCCAAATGAAGCTAGCTGTATCTGAATTAAAACCACAACAATGAATTTTTAGATAATTCAATTGAACACAATTAAATTTACAGAATAATATAATATTTGGAATCAAAGGACAGAAAACTGCAAGAAATTTTGGCTTTATGAAACAGAAGTAATTCTTCCATAGTCTAACTTTCTTCCATTTTCAGTTCTCAACTTTACTATATCGAAAGTTTTTACAAACCGGTAAAATTTACTACTTAGGAAAGCAAACTGTGGCTCCTACAAATTCTAAGAACTTCTTACCATTGGGGGTCGTGCAGTAATAGGTCCAAATGGTGTGGGCAAATTCATTTTATTCATAAGATGAAGCACCTTAAAATTGCAAAATACTTAAAAGTCAAATAAAATTGAAGTCATGGTTAACCTCATATATTTTATATAATAAAAAAATTTTTGGAAAAACATTCTTTTGTTTTGACAGTCTCTCTACATAGACTAGGCTGATCTTGACTCAAAGATCCTCCTCTGAGTGCTGGAATTTAAGGTCTGTACTACTACACCCAGCATGTAAAAAACACTTGATTAATGTAATGAAAACCAAAGTCACTCTCTGGCCTTCATAGTTTTTATACCAAGAGAAAACAAGGCATCAGTACATCTCAGAAACTTAACCCTCCTACATTATTTGTCATTTCTACAAATACATTGATTTTCAATCCTATTACTAAGGATATAATGGTCTTGCAATGTAAAAACAACAAAAAAAAAAACAGAAAATGTACACCATCTATATTCTATAATTCTGAAAAGTAACATATTACCATCAAGTTTTGAAACCATCTCCTGAATCGGTATTGTTTCTTTAAGCATTTCTGTAAGTCAGTGCTATACTCAGGTAACACTTATAACAAATTACATCTTCCAATGTAGCACTCTATTAGTATTCATTCATGGTATTTACGAAGTTATTACTTGAGAGTAGCATGTGACAAGTCATTACATTTAAAACACTATATAGAACACTGTTTGTCTGGGATTAGTAAGTTTCCTTTGTGATAAATATGATACAAGCATCAGCATCAGCACAGTATCTAAGGTACCAAGTTACAAACCTCATAACATAGCAAAAGTTAAGTTGATTCTGCATACCTGTACATAGAATTTCGGCACACTTGCCAGGGCATTTACTATATTTGCAAGGATTGTGCTTGAAGGTGGTGGGTACATATATTTGAGGCATGAATTTAGAGGAAAAGTCAGCCTACAAAAACAAAATGAGTTAAGGAATATGCTTATTACATTTTAATAATTCCATATTAGTAACTCACTTCAGATAATCTATTAACACACAAAACTGCCAAAATGGTATAATAGTCATGTATTTATCTTATTCCTTAATATTTCTATTACCTTAAAGAGAATGGAAGTATTTATCAGAGTTTACTTATAGACTTGAACATTTTAACAGACTTACTAAATTTGGTGGAAAAAGAACCCATACCTCAAAACATTCAAAATATTAAATTATACATGACATATTAAAAAGCTGACTTTAAAAACTATCTTACTTAAAATATGTTAGTATCACATACACACAGCAACAACGGCAGAATAATAAAAAATAACAAAAATGCAAACCCATGATTTGGTGCAATTCCATTTTCTATTGTCAAAAAGTCAGGCTCTTTCTTCTCTTTATCATCCTCCACATTGTCATCCGACCTAAAACATATAGAATCATGAGTGATATTATCTTTGGAAAGTGAGAAAATGTATACAGAGAAGAAAAATCTTTTCAAATTAGAAAGAACTTCTCAAACAAGAACCACTGAGAAAAAAGAAGAACATAATGAAGCTCCACTTAATCCTTCCACTTAGATTTCACAGTCATGGTGTGGCAATTCCAAATGATCCCTAGAAAAGTAAAATTCATGTTGTATTACATAGGCATTGAGAGACTCAAATCTGTTTAATGTTTAATGTTCATGTTCATCTATGCACAAAATTACACACTTGTGCAGGGCCTTACCTCTTTCACCTTCATCTGTTAAATTTCTGATTCTAATAAGATTGGTTCTTACATTAAAAGGCAATTCAGCCAATTTCCTGGATGATGAAGGTAGTTTGGGTATTACACTTTGAGGTCAACTAGTGTAATGAAACTCTTGCAAAAGCTAGGCTTGGAACTAAAATACTGCTCTTTCATTTTTTTCTCTCTCTTATTGAAAATAGCTTTTTTTTTCTCTTGCAAAATATCCTAATTATAGTTTCCCCTCCTTCTACTCCTGCCAGCTCTTCCGTACTTACTCTCCCCTCTGTATCTGCTCCCTTTCTTTTCTCATTAGAAAAGAACAGGCTTCTAAGAGTTAATGACAAAGCATGACAAAATATAATAAGGATGAAGGAAAAACTATTACATAGAAGTTGGACATGGCAGCCCAGTATAGGAAAAGGGTCCCAAGAGCAGAGGAAAGAGTCAGACACACCTCCACATCCACTGTTAGGAGTTCACAAAAACACCAAGCTAACAACCATAACAAATATAGAGAACCGAACAAATAACCATGCAGGCTCCATGACTGCTACTTCAGTCTATATGAGCCCTGCTTAATTTATTCTGTGGGCTGTGTTCTCCTCCATCTCCCCCTTGACTCCTACCATCTTTCCATCTCCTCTTCTGCATGATTTCCTGAGCAGAAAATTTCCCTGGGGAGGGATCTTATGGGAGTGGGGGCAACTGGGGACCAGAGTAGAAGAATCAGCTTTGAGGAGAGATGAGACGAGATGCAGATACTTTGTGGAGAGACAGTTGGAACTGGGGAAACACTGTGGAGTAGTGTGGAAACCTAGTGCAGTGAAACTTCCTGGAATTTATGAAGGTGATCCTAATGAGGACCCTTAGTAATGGTGCTTTTGTAGTCTCATGGCTATCTCATTGCCAAACAAGGCTTTCAGGTGAGGGACTGGGTTACACTCAATTGAGTTGTTGGCCAACAGGGTCCCATGGAAATTCCCAAACATCCCAGGCTATAGAAAGACAAAGAGTTGCTTTCCACAAATCCACAATGGGACCCGAATGCAAAGGACAACACCCATACAACTCACTGAACAAGGAAGGGGAACTTGAGCTGGTGCCTTCATTGAACCTTCACACCTAAATTCTAGCATCTTTTTGTGCAATGAGGTACTCTGTAGGCTACAGAAAAAGAAATGTGGACACCAACTTAGTCACAAATCCTTTGCCTTACAATGTGTCCTTCATGCAACATAGGCTAGAGCAATGGTGGCTCAGAAACTGTGGGAGTAGCCAAGCTTGTCTGATTTTATTTAAGGACCATTCCACTAGAGGGAACCCATGCCTGACACTGCTTGGGTAACTGAGAAGCAGAGACTAAATAGCCCAGAGATCTAGGGAGGTCAACAAAAAAGCCATGCCAATTCTGTTTACCCTGTTATATCTAACAGGGTGTTATTACCACAGGTTGAAATCTGATATCTATTGATATTTGAAACTCTGAGGCAACATGATGTTACAAATTAGAAAATTCTACTGGTAACCTCATGTAACAGATCAGAAACTGGGACATACTAAAAATATTACATAAAACACCTTCAGGCAACACACACGAGGCAGATAGATATCAATCAAATGAATTCTATGTTTAGGCTTGGGATAACACTTCAAAGATAATTAATCATGCATATATAAGTACTCCAAATGAAATACTATCCATCCCAAACATTTTGGGTAATTAGCCTGTAGTACGTACGTACGTACATACATACATACATACACACACACACACACACACAAACACACACACACACAAAACCACGGGGGAGGGGGGGGGGGGGGGGGGGAACCAAACAAAGGCAGAATAATAAAAAATACCAAAAATGCAAACCCATGATTTGGTGCAATTCCATTTTTCTACTGTTAAAAAGTCAGGCTCTTTCTTCCCTTTGTCACCTTATTTACCTTCTTCCACTAAAAGGAGAACGCTATCCACCCCGCTTTCTTTTTACTTTTATTTATGTGGTGATATTTTGCTTATGGTCTGACAAATAAAGCTTACCTGAGGATCAGAGCACAGAACTAGCCACACTAGTTAGTCACAGAGGCCAGGCAGTGGTGGCACACGCCTTTAATTCCAGAGACAGAAGGATCTCTGTGAATTCAAGGCTACCCTGGGCAACACATGATTGAATCTGTTGTTGGGAACCACAAGTCTTTAATCCCAGCAGCACTAGGGAGGTGGAAACAAGAGCATATGGCTGGGTGGAAAGAGGAATATATGGCAGGAGGAGACAAGAGAAATGCAGTCTGAGGCAGGCAGGATCACCCCTTTGGTCTCGGCACTGGTAGAGGTAAGAACTCTAGTGCTGACCCTCTGCTTCTCTGATCCTTCGGCTTTCACCCTAAAAGCTGACTCCGAGTATTTTTTCTATTAAGACCAAAGAGAATTCATACTACATATTTGTTATCTTTCAAGACTCAGTCCTCAGCACAATTCACAGGCACTTTTCAAAATGGTAGAAAATATGAACATCTACATACCTTTTCTTTTTCTCTGTATTTGAGGTGGGACATGGGGAATGAACTCGATCTTGCTCTTTTGCAAATTCAACAACTAAAGTATGGCCTAGAAGTTTCAGCTGATGAAGTCTTGTCAATGCCTTTAGGTACAGCAATAAAAAATATAATAAAAAACCAAATCACTTGTTAAGTCACCTTAATTGAACAAAATTTCTATATTATACATATTTCCTTCTCAGGCTAGTTTGCTATAACTTCTTAAACTATACTTTAGTAAAATGAAATCTGACTCCAATACTCTGTTAACTACTTATAACTAAGCTGAATATTGCTACAAAAGCAATAAATCGTCTGCTCACACACTAAATTCCAACCATAAAAATCTCAAGGTGACCCTTACTGACACCAGACAATTACTTATCACAATCTTGGTATAAACTGCACTAATCGCTAAGAGAAAATCTTGTATGTTTTCGCTGATATGTAACCTCACAGCTTCCTCTCCTATTTGCTTAGCATAACACCTTGCTTCCCACTTTGAGACAAATGAGGAGACTAAATGAGAACTGTGGACTGTAACTCCCTATCCCTAGCATTTGCAGCCTCATAATTCACTATGCATCTGGATCACAAATTAACTGTCCACATATTCTAAATCCAGCTGTTAGACTTACCGACTAAATTCCATCCTCTATCAACTCATGACTTTCTTTAGCTACTCTGGACCAGGGGCTCTCAACCTTCCTAATGCTGAGATTCTTTAATATATTTTCTCATGCTGTGGTGACCCCTAACCACAAAATTCTTTCATTGCTACTTCATAACTGTAATTTTGCTACTGTTATGAATTGTAATATATACCTGATATGCAGAATATCTGATATCTGACCTCAAAAGGGTTGAGATCCAGACTGAGAACCACTCCTCTAGACATGAGGGAATGCTGCAGACTATTCCTTTACACTGTGTTTCACTGTGATGGATTAATAAAGAGCTGAATGGCCAAGAGCTAGGCAAGAAGAGGTTGGGTGAACTTCTGGGGACAGAAAGGACTCAGAGAAGAAAGGCTGGTGGCAAGCCATACAGGGAGAAAGCAGCATTAGCAGTACAGAGAGATGCAGTAACATCGGTAATTTAAGTGATAAGAGCTAGTGGGACAAGCTTTAGCTAAGGCCAAGCTTTCACATTAATAATAAGTCTCCCAGTTATTATTCAGGAGCTGGCATTACAGAGAACACTTGCTACAATGGAAGTGTTATCATGTTTTACATCTTGACATTCAAGTACATGAACTATATATTCCCTAATAATAATCATATAAAATCATTCAAACAATCATAGTCCAAAATATGGATGCAAACAAGTTTAATATCTCTTATCTGATATGTCTGGGATCTGAATTCAGATTTTGGGGTTCACTCTTCATGTTTTAAATACTTGCAATCATAATCAAGAATCACGGGGGTGGGGTGGGGGTAACATATGTTAAACATGGCATTCATGTGCGTCATACATGACACACTTAGACTGAAGAAATTTATACAATATTTTTAATGTGTACAGTTTACTGTGGCCTATTAGATATGGCACAAACTTTTCACTTGTGACAGCATGTCGAAGGTCAGAACATTAAAGTTTTTGATCATTTAACATTAATGATGATCCATATTTTTAAAGTTACACTATTCCTCCCTGATAAATATTTGGATTATTTCTATTTTTCCCTATCTTATGGAAAGTTAACATTATTTCTACTTTTTTCCTGTTTTATAAAGAGTATGGGCAGGGTGTGGTTTAATCCCAAAACTCAGAAGGGAAACATAGAGGCAATGGCAAGGTAGATCTCTGAGTTGGATGCCAGCCTGATCTACACAGTGAGCTCTAGACCAATCAGGATTACATTGTGAGATCCTGTTTCTAAAACATGCCTAATTAAACCTGATTTGTAAGACTATGCTCATTTTTTAGTATGTCTCCTCACAGAATCTCTCCTTAATTTCTTGTTTTTTGTATCAATATAGCATGTTTTTTTAGTTTTGCAGTTCCTTTATCTTCCTTTCTTTAAAACATAACATTTCTCCATCTTTTTTTTGTTTTGATTTTTTCACTTAACTAATCTTCCTCTGTACCATCATAACCATTTTAGCTCAAGGAAATATTTTACAGTGCTCATGATTTCCACAGAAGTACTCCAAAGACTCCTCAAAATTAACAGACAACACAAGAATTCATTACAGGTCTGTGCAAAGACCCCCACATTGCTTTGTCAATAAGTCCACAGATCTTGAACATGGGCTGGAGAGATAGCTCAGCTGGGTCAAGGTGCTGGCTGCTAGGACTGATAACCTGAGTTCAACCCTGAGACATACACTGTGGAAGGAGAAACCAATTCCTGTCCTCTGACCTCCACGTGTTAAGAGTTAAATATGCAAATGTGTAAAAATAATAAAAAGTACAAAAGCATTTAAGATTCCGAACTACTCTTTTGTTGTCAAATCCCATATTACTAAAACCTACAGGCTTTATTTCTGTAGAACTGGGATTCCAACTCAGGACCCTGTGTATTCTGTGTAACACTATACTGAATTACTTCTGTAACCTAAGACCCATAAGCAACTTCTCTCTAAAGTATGCATGTACTTCTCTCCCTTTATTGTTTTATTGCCCTCTTCAGATTCACACGCTTGCCTCTGCCTGTAAAATAGCTTACCATATAGTCTTCCTATCTCCAGTTTTCCTTTACATCCAATCCAATATTTAAGTATCAACCATATCAGATGTTGTTCATGGGTCTAAACTTATTTTTAGCTTTCTCAAAAGTATTAATTCTTTTAGTTATCTACTAAACAAAACTCAATACCTCTCTTCTGCTTAAATCTAGGCTCAATCTTTTTAGTCTTATCTCTAAGACTGATGTTAGCTCTTGCCTGACTTATAATATTCCATGCCCAATGTTATTGTTTCCTAAGCCTAAAAGGACAAATTCTTCTGTTTTCTTCTTAAAATTAAACGACTCAGTTGAGGCCTAGTCCAAAGGTGATAGCTTTTTCAAATTATACTTTAGGTTTGTATCTTTTAATATAAATAAATGTACCATCAACACTAGAGATACTTATCTAATATCCTTTAGAATTTCTTTTAAGAATTATACATGATGTTATCCTTACCTTGCTTAATAATCTACGATTCTTACATTTCAGTATCTAATCTGCCAAGCCAACTGTAACCTTTTGGAGAAACTCTTGGAACACAAATGATTTTGCTTTGAAAAATGACAATTTACATCTATTACATTCTACATCTATCCTAAGATGGGATAAGAAATCTCTGAAAGTTTTAATATTAAGAAAAAGACATACCTTTATTGCTGCTTTTTCATTGGGAAAAGTAGCAAATGCTGTATGTTTCTGAAATAAAATTAAGGTACATATTATTTCCAGTATGATTTAAGTTTCTCATAAAAAGTAACATTTGAATAGAATTTAATAATTTAGTAACATTATAGGAAAGGATGGAAATTTTAGACTGTCTTATTTATTTATTGTGTTAGTTTCTGTCCAATAGTTCAGAATCTTTCTTGGGTCAGACTTCTTGGGCCTTGAAAGCTCTTCAGCCTCATAAGTGGGTAAGGACAAACACACTACATTTTATAATAGCAAACAGTTCAGCAGGCCACAACTTAAAAAATATCTATATTTGGGGGCTAGGTAAAAGTGGGTAGGGCTCTCTCTACCCAACGAACGACCTCAGCTGAGCCATGTCAGGCTGCTTCATAACCACCTGTAACTCCAGCTCACTGTAAAGCTCTCTCTCTGTCTGTCTCTCACACACATATACAATTAAAAGTAAAATAAATGATAAAACATCTCAACTTTTCAAAACGGATCAATCTTAAAACTTTTAAACATATGGAATATCCTCTTTTTCATCATCCCCCCCAAAATCTTAAATTTTCATTCTGTCCATTCCATGATAAAATGTAAACGTATTTATTAACAATGAAAGCACCCCTCAAGCTGAATGTTATCTTTCTGCTTTATTTTTGCAATTTGCTTCAACAGTATGAGTCTAGTTTTTAACTTAAATTCGGAGTATTTTTTTAAACCATCCTGAAAAGGTGAGAGGAATTATATTACTGCTAAGTTACATTTTGGTAAGTTTAAATTCTTTATTAGAAGTCTAAAGCTGTCCAATCTGACCCAAGATCATCCTAGTATATTTAGATTGAGCCAGAGACTTTTTTTTTTTTTTTTTTTTTTGGTTTTTCAAGAAAAGGTTTCTCTGTGGTGTAGCTTTGGTGCCTATCCTGGCACTCACTCTGGAGACCAGGCTGGCCTCGAATTAACAGAGATCCGCCTGCCTCTGCCTCTGCCTCCCGAGTGCTGGGATTAAAGCCGTGCGCCACCAACGCCCGGCTCAGCGACTATTTTTATTTGCATTTGTCAAAGTACATAACACGGTTAAGTGCTCCAAACCGGTCTTTCTCCTAAATCACCAATTCTCAATTTATTGGAGTCCCCTGAAACTTTGAAGCCATTGCTATCTGGCTCCACCACAGACCACTCTCTTGTGCAAACAAGACTGGGCATTCCGCAAGGGCTTTCGTTACCCAAATACCCGTTGCCTGAAAGATTCCATGGGGAAAGTTTTCGGATGGTCAAAAGCAAAAAAAAAAAAAAAAAAAAAAAAAAAAACGTCTGGTTTTCTGAAATCATGTCGTTAAAAAATCCTTTGCACGGGCCTGGAACAATCTAACAGCAGTATGTCTACGTCTGGCGAGTTTTGCTCGCCCGGGGGTGGGTGCACAAAAGTCACCTGAGGCGCGCGGCCCGC